CTTGACCTCAGGAGTTGGAGGTTGCTGTGAGTGTGATGCCATGGCACTCTACCCAGGGGGATAGCTTGAGGCTCCGTCTCAAAAACAAACAAACAAACAAACAAACAAACAAAAACAAGAAGGGAATAAGGGCATTTTACATGGGAGCAAAGCAAACAACCCATTCTCAGTCCTACAGACATCACCACTGGGAACATCTCACTGGCCTTTCGGGGAAGGTCTAGGCTCCTGACTGGCCCTCCTGTCCCAGCCCTCTCTCAATGCCAGGACCCTCCTTGGAGTCCCCTCACACACACTCCCAGCTCTCCCCAGCATCTGCACATTTTAAGACTAGTCCTTGCTTCTGCCAAATGAAGGGCTACCCTATGGGCACTGGGCATTCCCTTTTGCCTTTATCAGAGACTTGACCATTTCCATGTCTCCAAGGACAGTAGTGCAGAAGTGTATCTTTCCACTAAGATAAATTCACCCACCTTTCTCCCTTTCTCTCTTGCACACACTTTGAAAGGTAACACTGTCAGTTTTCTCTTTAAATAGCCATTGTTGCCATCTTGATGCAAATAATTTTCTTTCTGCTTGCCTTTTTGTTTACAGGAAAAGTGGGAGTAAGTAGCCCATTTCCAGAATGTTCCATTTACATAGTACCCTGAAGATATGCAGTACATGATGCATCTGGTCACTTTAGGGGACACAGAACAGGAAGGCAAGTGGGTTACTGAACTTGGCTTCTTCTCTATTACTAAAATAAAGAAGCCTTTCTGGGCAGTGCCTGTGGCTCAGTGAGTAGGACGCCGGCCCCATATACCGAGGGTGGCAGGTTCAAACCCGGCCCCGGCCAAATCGCAACAAAAAAATAGCCAGGTGTTGTGGTGGGCTTCTGTAGTCCCAGCTACTCTGGAGGCTGAGGCAGGAGAATTGCCTAAGCCCGGGAGTTGGAGGTTGCTGTGAGCTGTGTGACGCTGCCATAGCACTCTATGGAGGGTGATAAAGTGAGACTCTCTCTAAATAAATAAATTAATTAATTAAATAAAATATTTTTTCCTGTCATTTCCGCGTGCTATTGCATAAGAAGTTGAGATTTTGGCTCGGCGCCT